ATGGCAAGATCATTAATAAGAAATATTCCCTGGTGTTGTCGGATATGGGTCTGCTTTAAGGTACTCCCACCTACTGTTGCCAGTTGTGTCTCGGACACCATTGATGAATTTAATAGAGAGAGTCTATCTCTGTCCTCTCCCACTTCCATCCCTGAAACTGAAATGACTTCATCATACGATGCTAACAATGGCGCAGGCGATCCACTTAAACCTGGAGAATTAGGATCCATTCTCTATTTAGATATTTTACCTACCAAATAATGGGGAAAGTTCAAATTTCTAATCGATTATTTAACTACAGAAGCGAAAATATTTTTTCAGTTTTTACTCACGGTAGATCAGCTTAGGACACGTCCTTACCCAACCGTCGCTCGAAAAAAGGAGGACCTAGTTTAGGAAGTTTGTTTACCAACAGGTTCCCGAGTCCGTCCGTTCTGCATTTCCAGTCTCTCCTGCTCATATGCATCACACTTATGTTGATGTAGTAACGGAACGCAAATTCTTATTTTGTTTGGTATTTCATAATATATTATTTTTTTTAATTCATGACATGAATATTCTCACCCTTGTCAATTATGAGGTGCATTTTTTATTTTTTTGAGGTGCATTTTTTTTATTATAATGAGGTGCAATTTGCATGCACCAAATTCCTAACAATGAGGCATGACGCATTACGCACAGATGAGGTGCAAGGTGGCACTGCGCAATCAATGAATATGCCTTCCTTCTCAGTAGGTCTAGTAGCCTAGTCTGATCTTAATTATTTTTAATATGATATATTATTAAGCGATGTTCAATGCATTGTTACTGACTACTTTTTCTCCTTGGAAAAATTTTTATAGGAATGGAATGACATGAAAATAAGAACATTTCTTAGCCGTTTTTAATAAATTGCAGACATGGAAAATTTCTACATCGACTGAAATACTCCAATGATTACATAGAATCCTGCACGTATAGATTTTAATATGCTATATTCTAACTCATTTAATTCAGAGATGTGCATTAAAATAATCATTCATGTGGTAGCATATGGAAAACTTTATACAAAATTGTGTTGTTTTTTGCATTCATTCTCTTCATATTTAAAAACATAATTACGCTCATAGCCTCATATATGTACGACCATGACGCTCATAGACCAGACTGCGAAGTGGCTGTGAAAGAAGAGTGCTTGTTTACCTTGAAGACAAAATTTATTGCCGGCGCCTGCAGGAGAGTATGACAACCTAAGGTCTGGTCGTGCTTTAATCTACGGAAGTTTCACCTACCCTTGGGCTTCAAGTGCTTATATCTAATACTAGAGTAATAATTTTGAAATGTTTGAGGTAGCGATCATTGAAGAATAAATAGTTAAACCGACGTATATCGAGAAATTGATAGAAAAGTCACACGCTTTACGAATATCGGGGTGCAAGATTTCATCCTCCCTGATAACAGTTGAAATAAAAAGTTTACATAATTTATCTTAATGTCTACGTATTAAAAATAATTAGCCAGGATAGCATTCCAAATTTCAGACTTATATCTTATTTATGAGGGGAGTTATTGGACCTAGTAATGGTTATAAAATTACATTAGCAACTAACGCGGCTGAGCCGGCTAAACGGGCCTCTTAAGCACAGCAAAATTGGAGCAGTGAGTTGCGAGTTCAAGCCCGCAAAATGCTGCGAATGTTCAGAATCGGCGACAGGCCTACGACCTAATATGCGCTGAAACCGCTATTATTATTATTTATCAGTCACACAGCACACTCCTAGCCCTAGTTTTGCCGGCTAGAAGCCTATACGCGGGGAGACTACTTGGTAAACGGATTCCGCACTCCGCAGGTGCCAGACTGCCTGGACCTGGAGGCTGGAGGCCTGGAGCTGCTAGTGCGTCATTGGATGCCATCGAGTGTGGTCACTAAGCATGGTGGAAATTGGAATATGGAACGGTAGGCGGGTAGGGTAACCAGTATTGGACCAGTAATGTCCGTAATAACCATTTGAGGAGGCGTTTGATAAAGTACATAGTTGGTGACTTAGTGGTAAATCAGACTTATCAGAGAATTATTAGAATCAGTTCATTTTTAATCCCCTAGTGACCCCTACCCCTCGTAAGTCGTAATCCTCATTTGCTCAAGATTTAAACCAAGATCTTAAGTATGAATGTATGATAATGCTTATGCTGGTATCCATGACAATGTTGACATGATGATACTCTGCTGGTCTAGAATGATCTGGTCTCTGCTGGTCATGATGATACTCTCTAGAGTCTATAAAACTCTTTGCTTTGCCATATGACTAACACACTCACACTGGCAAATTAGAGATTTTTAACTCGTTTCCCCAATCCCCATTTAGGTACTCAATATTCATATTCTAATGAACTTTATATGTGTATTGTGTGATAATGCCATTATCAAAGATAATTGTCTACTATTGCCTTATAGGACTCAAAAATGTCCTATAAGGCTATAAGCCTATAACGATCAGAATTGTCAATGATTAGGAATTGAATTTATATGTCTGAAGTTATTGTACATGTCTGCAATTTGCAAACTAAAAATAAAGTAGACATCAGTTATCAGTAAGCAATTTGTCTTGTTATAAAAGGTATCAATTCTGGGAAATTTTAACACGTTAAGTGCGGGAGGCCCGGAGGACCCACGGGTGGGTGGCAGGGTCTTTTTTCCGGATAAATTCCATGATTTAGTTTTTTTTTCAATTGCGCTTGTCGACAAAAATTTATGATGACAGTAGTGCCTCTTTAAAATATGAAATGTACGAAAAAATAAAAATTTAATTTTTGCACCTGAACCTACAAATTTACTAGTATATTTTGAATTAGAGGCCTTTTTAGCAGTGGACTTGGCCGTTTTTAGGCCAGCTGCCAGTGCTGTGGGTTGTTGCCGCACTTAATGTGTTAAACCTCCTATTTTAACCTGGGCAACCGCCCCGGGACATCTGGTCTTGCTCTTGTCCTGGTATTGTCCCAGATTTCCCCCATATCACACTATCACTGAGGGCTGAAAATTGTCCCAGTTTATATTGCAAACCGGGACAAAGCTTCTTGTCTAGTCTCGTATGGAAAAAAGTTCCAAACGCAGGAGTTTAGTGCCACGGACCCATGGTCAGTTGAATCTGGAATACCGTAAAATGGGGTAACTTAGACCACTTTTTTTTTATAAATGATGCCCTTTTTTTTACTAGCTAAATTAAACTTGAATTGAAACATGCAAAATACAGGTCTATACTCTAGCTTCACTCACCATAAATTGCTGGCTCCTGCCTCTCATAGTCTTTATGTAATTTCAAAAAAAGTGATGGTCTTTGTTACCCCAGCTCTGGGGGTAACTTAGACTGGGTGGTAAAATCAATTATATTTTTTGGTATAACCAAAAAATAAAAAAATTGGAGGGGGTACTCTGACAGGCTTTAAATAATAGCTTTTTTTCGTGGGTCACATTTTTAATTTTTTAACCTATTAGGTATGCAAACTTTTTAAATCTTTCTATTGTGTTATGTAGCCTCAGTATTAGGCCTTTAATGCCTATTGACAAAATTTTTCTATGTCGAATAGTTTTTGAGTTGTGGGGGTTTTTGTTGAAAAAACGAAAAGTGGTCTAAGTTACCCCGCCGGTCTAAGTTACCCCATTTTACGGTATTAGGCAATAGGCACAATTTTCCAAAACTTCTGTTTAAAAATTATATATAAACAGGCATTTTTAAAAAAAAAATCATGGATGAAAATGTGCTACCAGTATCATTATTATTTTTACAAAAGAAGTTTGGCATAACAATGGCAAGTTGTTGAAAAGTTTAAATTAAAGTATATCATCTATCAAAGTGTAATGGGATCTAATTGGAAAGGTTCAAATTAATTTTGCTCCAATCAAATTATAAAATTTAATGCAGTCATTTAGTGGTCAGGCAGTTTGCAACTTTGCTTAATTGATTTTTGATTATTTTTTTCCAGCAAAGTCAAAGTTGGGCAATGCTGGCTGCCAACACGCAGATTGTCTTCAGCCACCATCCTTGCTGCTCCCACCTGCACCTGCCCACCACTTGCAGCACACAGTTCATGCAGCACACAGTTCATGCAGCACACAGTTCATGCAGCACACAGTTCATGCAGCACTCAGTTCATGGAGCAGTTAGCACACAGTTAATACAACTCTCAGTTCATGCTATGATTGGAACAATAAAAGGATGGCCTATGCAGGTGTAAATTTTGGCACCATTTTGTGAATTTTCCTTAAGACATCACACCAGTCAGTAAATGAAAACATTGTTTTAAATGCCTTTTGGTGTCATATTTGAAAGAATATGTCTACTTTCTGAGTTAAAACTTTAGCTTTCCTGCCATTTTTGAACCTGCTAGATTCCTGCTAGATAAAGTATCTACTATCTAATTGTCTAGTGAATTTAGTGAATTATGATCTTCAAAGGTTTATTTTTTCACAACACTTCTCTTTAACTTCACTTCTTGCTTGTTTGTTTGTCTGTCTGTTACAAATATTTGAATCAATATTTAACACACTTCTACCTGTCCAATCAATCTGAAATTTTGCACACTTGCGTAAAGTTGGAGACAATGCCTGTATCAGTTGACAGAATAAATAATTTTATAAATCAAATAATTTGTTTTAAATGATGAAAAAATTATAAATTATTTTGTCTGCTACAAATCTTGTAATCGATGTTTAACACATTTCTACCTGTCCAATCGATCTGAAAATTTGCACAATTGCGTAAAGTTGGAGACAATGCTTGAATCAGTTGACAGAATAAATAATTTTGAAAATTTTAATTCTTATTACGTATAAAATAAATAAATTACAAATTTATTTTTTTGATATATGAAAATAAAATTAGAAATTCATTGTTCATGTGTAACATTGGAGACACTGGATTCTTTAGAAGTGGGGTCTTTGAAAAGTAATTTTTAAACACATATTATTATTATCTTTATTTTGATTTGGTGTAATTTAATTTTAATGATCATCTATATTTCAGAATTTTCAGGTAAATATTTTCAATGATGGAAATTTCTGCATTGAAGTCCATAGAAAAATGCCTAGCTTTGCTTCTCTTTTGTTGGAACTTACTGAGCCATTCTAAACGATTAAATGCAAGTATATTCATTGCCTTAGATTTATATGGAAAATCATTTAAAAAATCCGCTTTACAGCTTATACCTCTGTCATCAATTGAAATGAGAAAACAATGCATCAACTGTGGCTTCTCATCTTCACTTGATCCAAACTCTGTAATTCTTGTAAATCCTTATTATTTAACTTGCCTGAAGATAAGAAGTGGTTCATGGTGCCTTGTGCAATGCCATGTTTCTTCTGCCAGAGTTTCCAGAAAACAAGGACCATGCTTGTATTGGGTCCGTTTGGTTTCAAATGCATTAGCTGATGTACATACATCTTACTGCTCACCCGCACTTTACCACATCATATCCCACGGACAGTTATCAGTTGATGTGAGAATTGAAGCTGACTATCAAATGACATCTCCTGTGAAGGCATACTTTCTTGGGAAACAGAAAATTGAACAAACCTCTGAAAAAAATTGTGTACCGTGTGTTGCATCTTCAGTTTCTTTATCTTTAATTGAACATAGCAAGTTTAAATGGAATTTTGGTTTGGAATCAATATTGGAAGAATACTTTGAAAATCCCAAATTGGTATCTGCTGGAAATGTGGTTACTATTCCAGCACCATCTTTATCAGCCAGAAATTTTGCTGATGAAGATTTAAAAAATTGTTCTGAGATACAAGTTTTGATAGAAAGTGTGAAGTGTAAGGGAAGGAATTGTTCTGAACAAATTGGTCATATTGCTAGCTGCAAGTTGACTCAGTTTTGTTTGGGAGCAAATGTTCAAGCATCAACATTGACACATCATTTGCATTGTCAGAATTACACCATTGGAAAAAGTGGAGACATCCTCATCCCTCCTCATCTGAAAAATATTTACATTAGTCTGGAAAGAATTATTCTGTCCCAGATTGTGTTTCCCTCTGTTGCGAGCAGCACTGACCTGCATTCTGACAATAAGAAGAGCTTTGCTGCTGAAATTCAGTCGTCATCTTCACTGGTGCCATCAGAAGGTTCACTTGCACCCACCCAGCCTAATAAAGTAATTTCCAAGAATGAAGTTGGTCATGTATTACTTGATGGTTGCAGAAACGACATTAACATTCTCTTGAAATGTCTTCATGGAAGTTTGGGTCTGTGCATCAGCTCATATGAAGCCTGGAAGCTGAAAGGTGACACTAGCAGCTCCACTGAAGCCAAGATTCAAAGATTGCACCAATTACATCTTAATTCAAGTCCTGCAGTTATAATCTTGCATGATGTGGATCAATTACTGCAGGTTGGTTCAAGGTATGGTTCAGTAAGACAATTAATAAATATATTGAATTGATGATTAATTACCTATGGTTATGTACAGCTCCATATCACAATAATTTAAATTTTTTGATCTTATTAAAACTAAGTTCACTTATGTCTTAACTAATTCCTCACAAACTCGTTTATTCATTTAGAACCTTTGCTTTCATTCTAGTCAGATAGACATTAAGAGGAAATGTAGGAACTTAATCAGTATCATCTTATTCTGGTCAGTCTAGAGTAGAGCCAAGTAGGCACATGCAAGTATTCAAAATTGTTTCAAAATCAGAGGTGGAAGAATATTTTCAGGTTATGAAAGGAGACAAAATTTATAGTTCAGATAATAACAAAAGTTTTGAAACAGTTCCTGATCTTTGTTTTCATATATTTAAGCCATTAGTTTATTGATGCATATGGAAAAGGAGTGACAACAATTTGTGTTAAAAGATGTCTTGACATTTCAGTGCAGTGACAGCAGTGGTGGTGATGACAGAGTGCGACTAGCCTTGTCTCGTTGCTTAGTTGATCTAAGCCGCGCTAACTGCCTCGTCATTGGCACCATACTGGCACCAGGGTCTGATGACTCGCCTGTTGCACTGCCTGGTGAGTTTACAATCCCACATTGCATTGATGCACTAACTTTCCTTTTAATTACTCATGAATAATGTGCACTAATTTGGCTTGTAGAGTGTATTTTAAGAAATTGGCCTTTTACCTATTTGGACTAAGCAAGTATGATGAAAAGAGATGATTCATGATTGTACCAAGACAAAGATGTATATATAGGTACATATAGCACCAAAAGATGAACTGTATTACTGCTAGTAGCTTTGAGGTATTCTTTAAGGAATTAATTCAATTTAATTGAGAAACTTCTGTTCAGTGATTAGGAAATGTACATCTTTATGCAATCATTTAAGCTGATTAGTAAGGAATTTATGAATTATTGCTTTCAGCAATCATTTATTCTTATTACTTTTTTAATTTTTATATTGTTTCTAAAAGGCTAATTTTTACACTACATCTTATTGTATGCAGGGTTTTTGGTCGGTTTGACATTAATAATCGCACTTATTTACTGCACTTTGAGGAGAATGAAATATATACATAATAAAAGTCTAGCCAGTTGGTATTTTAGCAGGAATTCTGCTTGAACCTTATTTTTTACAACACTTCTCTTTAACTTCACTTCTTGTTTGTCTGTTTGTCTGTCTGCTACATATCTTGTAATCAAAATTTTAATACACTTCTACTTATCCTATCGATCTGAAATTTTGCACACTTGCCTAAAGTTGGAGACAATGCATGAATCGAATGGCAAAATAAATTTTAAGAATAAAAAATTTTTTTTAATATTAAAAAAACTTAAAAAATAATTTTGTCAGCTACAAATCTTCTAATTGATATTTGACACACTTTTACCTCTCCAATTGATATGAAATTTTGCACACTTGTGTGTAGTTGGTGGCATGCATGAATCGATTGACAGAATAAATAATTTTGAAAAAAAATTATTTGTTGAAAAAATTGAAAAATTAAATTTTTTAATATTCAAAAATAAAATTAGAAATTAATTGTACATCTGTAACATTGGGAACACTGGATTCTTGAGAAGTGTTGTCTTTAAAAAATAATTTTTAAACGTATATTATCATTTAGCAATCCTAATGTTGTTAATAATGTTGAATTGATTGAAAGAGGATGCAAATCTACAGACACATCATTTGACCATGGCTGCTAGGTTTTGAGATGGATCAAATATATATATATATTTTTTTTTTACAGATGGTTTGTGGCAACTGTTCACCTTCCAAATTACAGCACCTGGAAAGATTGGAAGCAACGACCAAGAAGAACTTCTCTATTGGCTCCTAACTACCAAATATTCACAATATGTACCTGGGGCTTCAGCCTTTGGGACGAGCTTTGGTTCTATAAGATCTAACACCAATTCCATTAAAAATGAAACTTCCAACAAGACCATGATTTCCACCAGTAACACCTTGAATGTTGCTACAAATGATAAAGATGAACCATGCATCACTAGCAATATGACTTCAAATAAGAACCACAGCTCCCAGTGTCATTTGGAACAAGAATCTCCTGCAATGAAGTCACTGGTGTTGGCACTATCCCACTGCACAGCTGGCTTTACCTACTGTCAAATTGAAGTTCTCTTAAGCATGGCCTGTGAACTGGCCTGTGAGGACTGGGAAACGCAGAATGACAACCTTGATTTGAAGACCAGCTCTGGCAGCGCTAGTGACATGGATAACGATTCACCTCGTCAAAATATCCCAGGTTATTTGTATTCATGTGTTAAAGAAATGATTTTTTTAGCATGTTAAACTCAAGTCGCTAATACCATGTTTTTGTGTATATTTTGCAGTTCCCAAATAAGTTTTTGCATGGTGGATGAAGTTTCCTGTATTTATTTGTTTGTTAGAAGCTCATTGACTGATTTAAGCTGCTGAAATGTACATGGCTTTTATGATAGAATTTAAGGATGCAAGTAGACATTTTCTGTAATGAGTAAATAATTCTTGATTAGCTGCAGTTGTGTAAAAAATCATTTTTTCTATGAAATGTTGCATGTGCCTTGAGAAAGATTAAAATTGAAATAGGAAAGCAGATATATTGCGTAAATTTGAAACTGTTTTTAACTGTTTTGGTGGTCATTGAAAAGTACAGTTTAATTGCTAATAAAATTTGCTTTTGCCTCAAACTTCTATGTAGGTATTCATAAAACAATAAGTTACCTTTTAATTGTTTACTTTCAAATTGTGTGCAATCTGCAATATTTCTCTCACCTTGACATCCATCTGAGGAATGTAAGACGTCCGTGCAGTAACACGGATTAAAAATTGCTTCCCCTGAATCTCTACCAATGCCTTTTAATTTGTTTAGGAATGCCATTTAATTAAATGTGATTAATTTATTTGTTCAAGAGTGCCGCTCTATTGGTTGCATTGCTTGGGGTTGTATTTCACCTACAAATAACATGTCTGGGATTTTTATTCATGACACATTTTGTGTGCAGTTCTTAGAGAGGAGCACATCATGCAGGCTGCCAAAGCAGTCAGTGGCCCTGCAGGCGTGGGCGGGGCAGGTGGTGTGCCTGTGGTGCTGTGGCAAGATGTTGGCGCCCTCGATAAACCCAAACAAGAACTAGTCAACACCATCAACATCCCACTGAACTACCCTCACTTGGTGGCATGTGGCATAAGGAGAGCAGGTTGGCTATAATCAGCAAATGATCAACGTGTTAGGAGCACAGCAGTGATTTTCTTTATCCCTAGTCTACCCATGCATAATTGCTCCCAATATTATTCGTCACAATATTATTCGTTATTGAGGGCTTGGGAACAAGAGTTAACATCACCAGTCAAACAGTTTCCTGTGCACAATATGTAGAAGAATATCCTTACTTAGGAGCTGGTATGCCAGTAATGAGCATATATATATCTCTATTTTTTTCTCTGCTACTATGTAAGTATTTCAGGCATTATTGAATATATTTCTATGTCTAGCTTAATCTCAGTATATCAGTGTCGTGAACACGACAGTATTTATTATATTTTCATTGCATCTCGTAGGATTCTTGCAACAAATAAGATCTAATGATAACAATTCTAACAACAAATAAGATCTAACGATTACAACATTACAGGTGTGCTGTTGTATGGCCCGCCTGGTACAGGCAAGACGCTGCTGGCCAAAGCGGTTGCCAGCGAGTGTCGCCTCAACTTCCTGTCTGTTAAAGGTCCTGAGCTTCTCAACATGTATGTTGGGGAAACTGAGCGCAACGTCAGGAAAAGTGAGTCAAGGCTTCAAATATGTCTAATGTAGCAATATCAGTTTGCCCGTCCAATAAGGCTCACAAGCTGTTTAAATATGTTGGGGAAACTGAGCGTAACGTCAGGAAAAGTGAGTCATGGCTCTAAATATGTCTAATGTAGCAATATCAGTTTGCCCGTCCAATAATGGTCACAAGCTGCTCAAATATGTCGGGGAAACTGGGCACAATGTCGGGTAAAGAATGCCATGCTGCCCAATGTAAAACACACAAAAACCAAAACCGCTTATTTACATATTACATCTGTGTTAGAATTGTTATATTTCAGAGAAGATTTGATGTTGAAGTAAAAGTCCTATTATTTACAAGCAAAAAAAAAAAGAATAAATAAAACCGTGAAGTTGTGATGAGACGCTTATCTTGAGGAACTCAATTTATTTGTACTCTTACATTTATTAGATTTATTTAAGCATAGATTTTTCAAGGAGAATACCTATGAAAAAATGTATAAATTCTACTCCTGAATGCTTCTGCTAGCTTTAATGTTTGAATATTTGAACAAGACAATAGTGTTAGTGTTGCTTATGTCGCTATTTGTGACACATTCATCATCATGCAAAAAAGTATTGTAATTTTTTCAGTATTACTGTTCTTTCAACTGAGCAGAGTCTCTAACACGCATTCCTCGATACAAAATGATTTTATATTTCAATTTATTTCAGTACTAGTGCATCTGTTTTGACTTTGTCTCGTGTTCTTTCATTCAGTATTTGCCGAGGCTCGGGGCAGCGTGCCCTGCGTCATATTCTTCGACGAACTGGACGCCCTCGCTCCCAACAGGGGTGCGTCTGGAGACTCGGGGGGCGTGATGGACAGGTCAAAAAAATTGAAATTAGTTCTAAGTCTTTCGAAGTCTTCCCATTTCACCCATGGGCATAATGGAAGCCCGTCGTTGCATAGCACCTTCAGCTAGTCACCTGTTCCTTCTGGCTCAACTACTGGTCAATTGGTGGAAACATTCTGTGATAAAAATTCTTATTGAGTCTTCTAATGAATATATTGCTCTTATCACCCATAGCCGCCTTATGACGTGGCCAACTAAACCATGCTTTTTGTGAACAACAGTGCTTAAGAAAATATATTTGCTGTAATCTTATATTGTGGCATTAAACAGTCGCTTTGAATTGGACCAAAAGTTTTCAATTTTGTTCTCAGAATGTAGTTTGTAGTGCTTCTTAGCTGCCAGACAGGTATAGAATATATCATTTACTATCATGTTTAATGATATTACTTGACTTAGAGCATCGCAATGACCGCAGGGTGGTGTCGGCGGTGGTGGCAGAGCTCGACGAATGCAGCAGAAACTCATCAGACGCGCCCGTGTTCGTGCTGGGGGCTACAAATAGACCGGACCTGATAGACCCTGCCCTGCTCAGACCGGGAAGGTGAGGCTGCACCAATAGACCGGAAGATGAGTTATAAGTCGTAAATAAGTACAGAGTAAGTCCATGGTCTCACTTTAAATTTTCAATTTTTTTACTGGGTGTTCCTGCATTCATATTGTTGCCACCGGTTATCTTTCTATGTGACTGGTGTGTGCAGACAAGCAAGTTGAACTTAGCCTGTTTTTAAAATTTTGCTAACAGCATGAAAAGAGACTGCGTATCACTTCACCCAGTAGAGGGAACATGAGACTCCGAGTTATACTCCAGCTGTAGACCGCCAGCTATAGACCTCCTAAAATCAACAAAGCAGCGTCAATGTTAGGCGAGACCTTCAGGTTAACTGTGGGGAATACCACCCTTTCTCTCATTGAGTAGAATGCGTACGCTTCTGAAATGGATTTGAAAGGTTCAGGTTTATAGACTAATGAATTAACCACCTGTTCCTTGAGTCCAGAAGCAGCTTGAAAATGTCAATGTAATCTTTGCATATGTAAAATTTATAAACTAACTTTTGCAGCCCGCTGAGTCACGTCTGTAACTCGCGCCTTCAGAGAAACAACTCAGTGTTTCTCTTAACCTTTCCTTGCTGCTGGACGATTGAAAGTGCCTAACTTCGTGTCAGTTTCACAATTTTTATTTGAAACATGAATAATAATTTCAAAAAATCTTTTCTTCATAATTCGTGTCGCAAAATAGTCATGCCTACTTTTGTATCCCGTAGCATTCGCATAATTGAACGCTTGTTCATAACAATTACCTGTAATTTGTACCTTAAATGTGATCTCAAATGATGAGCTAATCTGTTTCGATAAATTTACTAATCAGGAATGAAACTTCAAATGATGATTTTATTAGATAAATTCGCAAATTTAGCCTGTAATTAGCGTTTGAAGCATTATTTCTATGCTATATTGAGTAGGCAAAATAAACGTACCATGAATAAATGAAGAGAGATATCGTTTTATGTTTACATGATTACGAATGCAGAGAAGTGTTTTTTCATGCCACACCTCCACCTATACACATACAGAATTTGTCTATTTCAATGCACATTCTTTAGATGTATGATCTGTTATAGAGAAGTGATAGAGAGTCTGTTTCTATTGACGTCCTTTTTGTGTACAGTTACGAGAAGCTGCTGTATCTTGTAATATTCATAATATTCATGCCATACCTCCACTCATACACATACAGAATGTATCTATTTCACTGCATATTCATTAGATGTATGATCTGTGTTAGACAAGTGATAGAGAGTTACTGGTTATATTGACGTCTCTTTTGTGTACAGGTTCGAGAAGCTGCTGTATCTTGTAATATTAATAATATTCATGCCATACCTTCACTCATATACATAAAGAATGTATCAATTTCACTACCCATTCATTAGATGTATGTTCTGTTTCAGAGAAGTGATACAGAGTTACTGGTTATATTGACGTCTCTCTTGTGTACAGATTCGAGAAGCTGCTGTATCTTGGCCCGTGTACTGACAGCGCAAGCTTGATTGCGGTTTTGAAGGCCGTCATCAGCAAGTGAGTTGCAACCTCGTGATATCATCATAAAGAAACTTACAAAGTTGAGAATTATCTAGTCCAATAAAAGCGGTAACAAGGAATCTGTCGAAACGTATTTCATTAACAAGTTGAGTAAATGTTATGTGAAGGATACATTTTCATTGACTCTGGCTAGCACGATATTTCAGAGTATTTATAGGCCAATGTAATTTATGCACCGATCATCCTTGTATCATAGTACGTTCATATTTTGTGCCGGTCATTGTAGTCCTAGAACACCGGTCACCGAAGCTGCTTAGGAGCGAGTATAGTATCATCTGTTGTTTACTCGATATTAAGTAAATTCTGTCCTGCCGCCATTTAAAGATACAAAAATGTTCACAGCTTTCTGGTGCTCGAAACCTTCATTAATTTGCCCTGTTATCAGACTGCCGCTGGGCCCGGACGTGTCCCTGGCTCGCGTGGTGGCGGCGATGCCGCGGCGCTGCTCAGGCGCCGACGTTAAGGCCGCCGCCACCAACGCCTTCTACGCCGCCCTCAGGGAGACCGTTGCACACATCCGTGCTGGTGAGGCGAGGCCTAGTGGTGATGGTGAGGGTCGGGGTCTCACCGTCTACCAGTTGCATATATCTCGAATATATATAGCGTATAATTTTTATGTTGAGGAATGTTATTAAAATTCATAATTCCTGAATTAACTAGTTGCTCCCGACGTTGCAGGCGACGTGCCTGCCGCCACCGCGCGTGTGGTGGTGACCGAGGCGCACCTTACAGCCGCCGCCCGCCGCGTCCTGCCGTCCGTCACCGCCGACCAGCTGGCCACCTACCAGGCCTTCAGCCGCCACACGGCGCCGTGACGCGTCTTCATCGGGGCGTGTGTGTTATCTTCTTCAATTATACACTCAGAAGATTATGACATTTTGTCCAGGTGCGGCGCACTTTCGTCGATGCCATCCCGACCCAGTATTGCCCGGCAAAAGGATGGATCAGTTCTACATGCAGAATGTGTGCCGCTATAAGGAAAATATGACCTATTCACTTTACTGAGTCTAGCTTGGTTCATCAAGCTCTACTGACCTGATCACACTTAACTTGGAAGCTGTCCTAAGATCATCATTTTTGTACGCGTGATTCTAATTTTTGTTTTGCAATGAAGCGTGTTGCTAATGAATAATTCGGGTGCCTATTATACGATAAAAATTGGGTGTTGCTGTGGTGTCATTATACTCATTTTACAACGGCTACGTCCCCTATTAAATATTCTAAGCCCCTACAAATTTACCTTCATTTATTGTTTGTTTCTACAAAAAATGCCAAAAATTTTTTATTGTTAGGCCTGATTGTGTTGTTGATTCTTCAAGCATACAGGACTTCCTGTGCTTGTTGTTGCTCTGTACAGAAGATGTTAGCTGTTCTTGAAATTAATAGTTCGCTCACATTCTGTATCCTGGAAGCTTAACCCCTCCCTGTCTGTTGAACCCAATACTGTCCCTTTTGTTTTGTTTCTTAGTCTCTGCGAAATTTCACTCTATTCAGCAACCAACTCTTCAAGGCTTCTTATCTTATCAAAGCCTAAATGAATATGATATTTTATTTTATTTATGTGATCTCCTTCGTGATCGACGACTGAATTTTTCTCCTTCATAACATAAAAAAATAAAGTTTGAAAAAGGCAGTAAGTATTATGGTGTTCTTGGGACGTTGAAGGGGATTGTATGATAGCAACCTTGCTAATCGCGCCTGACATTAACTGCGAGAAACTCTAGTTTGCGAACTCGAGTGTGGGTCAGAAGTGACGTAAGTCATAGCTGTCCAGTCCTCAGTGCCATGGCGACTCAACATGAAATAGTAATCTCGATAACGTATCATTCAGTGGGCGTCAACCGGAATGCTAGTTAAAACCGTACTTTGTGGAGCGAGCAGAAAATGTAATCTTCAAAGCTTCATTTATATGATCACAATGTGGTCGAGGGTAATGAAGTTTCAAAACTACCAGTGACTTATTGAATTCGATTCCAATTAATGACTCCTAAACATCAAATTGAATTTCATTTCTGTTCAGTTCTAGTCGCTGCCCTGAATTCAAAAAGTATTTCTTTTAATGAATATCTCACTGAGAATAAATTGACGCAGAGATTATATTCGACTTGAATATTTTGAGCATATTTAGTCTTGCATCTAAATATGATTGTCTCAACTTCTCCGTGCAATTGAGTTCAATTACCATAGCCCAGTCTATACTAGAATAACATCTTCAGATAACATCAATATTATGTTTAACAAGGTATGATTTTAACGGATTTATTTTGTTATTGATTTGCGTATTTTAATTGTGGATATCCTAGAAAAGGCTTGAGATTTTAGTTTGTGTGGTGTCTTGTTATTCTGAGTTTATAAATGTCTTCTTTTGTGTGGCAAATACTCCAATGTTGCGGTGTCAGACTGATGGGCTGTGAATAAACTGACGTTCGTCATTTTTTTTTCATTTCCCGGTGGCTACAGAAACGTTATTATGATGGCGTTTCATTAAAAATTATTACTACTGTAATTCGATGATGCAATTTGATTTTACTTCATCATTGGTACTAACGATTGAAACATCGGTAATGATAAAAGTTCTGTGAAGCATGCTAGATACGCCTTTATATCAGATGACTTCACATAGAGATCAGGGAGACTAGTTTAGCTGCAAAGGCTAAAACTAGGTATATTGAGCTATGCAGACGTTTGATTTTCTGCCTCTCACCTCACAAACAGGTAAAGGTTCAGCAGCTACTTAGTTTTAACGTCAATTATAGATAGAACTCTGGTCAAATTGCCTGTTTCTAGATCTCCAGGAGACAAGTCAAGAAAATTACAAGATTCGGCTACCGATTTAACTGTGCCTATTCCTCAATAACACTGAATCCTGACACTATTACTGTCATTGAAACGATGCAGATCTCATGTATCAGAAATCTTTTAAGCTCAAGATGCACTGATATGTGTTTACTTGAATTATTGTCTGATGCCATCTGAAGGAAGTGATTGATCCAATTTCACACTAAAATTGTTTAATAGCGTCGTATGTGCAATCGTCTTTGTTTAGGAGCAACAGGGAAGTTGCATGACGTCTCGGACACTTTAACGGCCGGTTTCCAAATTCAACGACCAAGCAATATCTCCCAAACTAACGAGCGCAGTTATGCGGCCCGTAGCTCCATATACATATAGTACTTCACGAATGAAGGTGAAATGTACAAAATTCTCACGAGCCAAACATCACCGTTACGTCCTAATGAATACGCTTATCAAGTTTCATCGAGCTGCGTTTCTTAGTTTGGGAGATATTTTTTTGGTCATTGAATTTGGAGACCGGCCATGAAACCGGTAGCGACTCCGGCAGTATAAGTGCCAGAGACGTTGCTGCATGACCGTATAGCTTAGTTTTTCGTCTGGCAGTTGAAATTCGGGCGCGGTTTTCTTGGATATGTAATTGAATTTCTAATGCATTCATATTATTTTTTATTTTGAACATACAGCCTTGAATCGATTGATGATTTAAATTTTTTCATTTGAGCAGCCGCAATAGGTACAGAAATGAATGTAATTCCTACCAACGTTGAGGGGAAACGAATGAGCCTATACTGCACTTTTGGATGCAGTCGACAAGCTATTGTGCAGTTGTCGTACGCTGCAACATGGAGCCAGCCGGCGGCAGCGCCAGCACCTAACCCCTCGAACGGCAGTCGGGAATTAACTGTCTTCAAGTTCGTGTGTGCAAGTACCGTGCAGTGAACAATTTTTTAGATTCCTGACGCCGTTGAGTTGGATATTATTAAAGTTTAAACCTAAACCTCCAGATTTGCTTTCATTTACATTTTTTAAAGTGTCCCATGCCATATGTACAATGCGGAAAATATCTTGTAGAATTGATTGATGTATTCATAATTTATTTGTTTATCTAGTTATCGTCTGAATATGCAGCCCTAAACATTGACACTTTTTGTGAAGTATAAAAACTTCATTTGACAGAGAAAATGTGCTAGATAACATTTTTTTTCAGAAACTAATTAAGGTGCGCGTAATGCTTTGTTTAGTGCCGGCGATCAAACACTGCCTAACATATGCCTCGATGCCGGTGCTCATCAGCGTAATAATCAGTATAAAAGTGTTGGCCTTGGTCTTAATTTGATTTAGAGTTTAAATTATTCCTAAATAATTACACGATTGATAATAACAAGAAAATTCTTATGAAATCAATACGACAACTTGACTGAACTGTCTAACCCATTGTCCCAGCAGTCTTTTCACTTATGCAAGAGGTTTTGTTTCCTCTTCATTTGTATTGTAGTCCAATAAAATATCCTATCATATCCCAGATATTAGATAAAATCTTGAAGTAGATCAGGTAATTAAAACTGGGGCAAAAAATTTTCTCCGCCGGAAATTTGATTCGCGTTTTAGCACCAGTTGAAAAAATTAGCAAACAATCCTCAACTCGTGCTGTGATCAAGAGTGATCAAAATTTGAATGTCAGCACTAAAATTTTACCTCACTTCAATCATTAAGGTGGTATTGAACATAGTTTTCCCGTTCCACGTGTGTTACCTTGTCCCTTGTTCACACGATGATTAAATGACTAATTGAATGTACAGTAATTGCCGTGCTAAATTAAAAAGACTCCTGAAAGTTTTTATTTTTGGACCCCTCGTGAGAAATCATGAGGGGTGTTCTAGAGCTTCTCTGCTCGCGCTGAACAACCTCATTTGATGTCATAATTCTTTTAGTTCTAGCATTCTCCTCACTTTTGTTATAATTCTTTTAATTTTAGCATATGTTAAGAACAAATTATGAGTAGATGCGTGTAAATTAAGACTCGAAATTTACTTGATGAGTTGTGATTGATGAACTCACGATCTCTCGTTTCCCGCGCTATTCTTACCTCTCGGGGCTCTTGTTATCCACTCTCATTGCATCATATTTACCGTTCGTATATTGTATTTCCTTCATCATATTTACCATTCGTTTTCTCCGTTTAATGTGTCATATTCACCTAATGTTTAATAGTCGCGTTATTTGGGGAACAACGAAGACATAGTTTTCCTTTGATGTGATAGAAGAATACATCTGCTGGAATAGATTATTGGGCGTCAGCAACATACTTATTGTGAGCAAGCATCCGTCATAAGTGAGCACTTCTGAATTGTTACCGTTTGAAAGAAAGAACATTAAATAAATATAGAAGAAATTAAAGAAATATTTAGTTCAGCTTTAAATCTGATCTCATTGTGAAATTAGTTATTGTCAGAAAACTTAGGCCGCCTCTTATAATCTAATTGGACCGGTTAGTCGGCGTTCATTGTTAAGCCTAAGTTCGTCCTGTATTTGGGGTAGGATTTACGTTCTGTTAGGCGCCCATTAAAGGGCGTGTAGATCGCAGCACTTTTAGGACATTAGTGCTTGGCAACAGGGGGTTACTTATTTCCCCTCTTCTGGGGATAATATGAATTTTTTTCTTAGGCTACGTGGGGGATATAGTGTAGTAATTTATAGAACGTTTGTGAAAAGGGTATGTATATCTTACTTATTTTGGTATGTAAAATTGGTTTAAAACATAAATTGGGGAACGACTGTTCATCAAGCTGATTTGTTTTTCAGAGCTGTGTCCTTAGTAGTGACGTATCCAGAAGTATTGCTCTTTCCACGTTTGGAAAAAAGGATTTCTCAAAATCTTTGTGTTTATTGAGTGTGAAGTTCAGATAATATTATATTACTAGGACTTAACAGTCCCTGGATAAATTTAAATCGTAGTTGCTTCTAGAGGAAATGAAACTTTCTGATGCTGGCTCTGGCTAGCCTCTTCTCTCCCGAAACTCCTGAGCTGGAATAAAATGACCCGCGAACTCGACGAAGACCGTTACCGACACGACCGCAGAGCCAAGGTAATATATATTATTGGGTTAGCTTGCATGGCTATAAGCTAGGATAAGTTAGTGATATTAAAACCCTCTACCCCCTGACATGAGTAACCGGAGCAATGTTGTCACAAGCCTTAGTTCCCAAAAACATAACTCAGAACTCACTGCAGTGAGTGACAGAGAGCGCATTTTCTCGTCGACGATAACTTGAGGTCACGGACAGACGGCTGTCTCTTATACACATCTAGATGTGTATAAGAGACAGACCTACAATATACCATCCACATCACACAATGACCTGATACAATACCTACCAGCTACCTACAATATCTACCAGCTACCTACAATACCTACCATCCACATCACACAATGACTTGCTACAATACCAGCTTCTGACGTGCCTCCTTAATTTGCCTGCCTCTCGAGCGCTCAAGAGCCTCTTAAATAGCTGCCCCATGAGACCCTTACTGCAACTGGACCTGGTCTGTGATTTTCAAGTGTAGTTCAAGTGTAGGTTACGCATGGTTATTTTTTACCGCTATTATAAATATCCGATCCATCATTGACTTTGCCTTATTTAGTCAATCATGGCATTCAGTGACGTGAAAGGATTCTCTGATATATATCTTTACATATTGAAGTGCTGAGACACCTTAAATATATTTTCAATTAGTTCAAGCTCTACTACTTTTGTAGTAGAGCTTGACGCTGTATATGATCTTGAGGTTACTCTGCTCGGTAGAATGCGTTTTTCTTATTGACAAGTAGCTACCCAGCTGAAGTCGCATTTTTGAACGATTGTATAAAGGGCTTAGAAAATAATTGTCCTTTGCAAAAAATTATTAACGATTGTATGTGCTATCAGTTATTGAATTAGTGTTTTTAATTAGTTAGCTACCCTAACCCATCTCCCAGTGAAAATCTAAGAACTCGCCGAGAAAATTTTGTATACCCGTTGATATCTACGTGAATGGCTATGTATTGTAGATATCTGCGTTAGAATCCACGGAAATTTTCAATGAGTTTATTCAATCTTGGACTCATCTTGCATGATGTTTTAATTTGAATATATCTTAGAGTTTAGTAACTTAGCGCCATTATTTCAATGACCGACCAAATTTATTAAAAACATTTTTGAGACTCCATCAGACGTTCAACCAACATTAGGCTTCTGCGAAGGGTATACTTTCTGAGATGCTTGTATACAATATATATTGCACTCATAAATGTTTGTTGCACCTCAGCGTTGTGTTATGCCCCCGCAGGTAAAGTCCGGTATCAAATATCAAGGATGGACAACCTTCAAGCGGTGGTAGATGAATTTTTCAAGGGTTTTCTCTCAGCCTAAGCCACATGCACGGCAGCCAGAGCGCTAAAATGCTGCCGCCTGCTACTGCATGCATATTACGCCTAAGTATGCCATTAGGTTTTCCCTTGTATTATGCATAACAGGAATTATGAATTTTACATGCACAAATTTCTATTTATCTGTAGAAGATGTGCTCATAATCTAAGAAATCTTGTAATTTAAGGCTTCCTTTGTTCTTTCTTCTCATCGATGTATTGATCCTCGTCAAGTTTGCAGAGTATCACAATGTTAAGTGTAATTATGTACGGTATCTCTGCACTCTATAAACTTTATTTAAGGAGTAAAAAGCATTTTCTTATTAATAATTTGAAAATAAACTTCACGGTATGTACAGATAGTACTTCTTTTGGTAATAAGAAGTAAATAATCATAGTGATATTTTCCTCGCTAATAATCATTGAAACATACATTAGAACAAAACAAAAATTTAATGCGATATTTTTATTCAAGTTTTTTTTAATTTAAAAGGCAATATTTTATGCTATATGCGCTGCATGGGATGACTTCATCTGCATTCAGCACCGCTACAAATCCAGGTCCTGCATGAACTTAAATTTTGCAATCGGTGCCAGTCATTCGCTCAATAAATTTAAGACGTTGTAATGTATCTGTGTCTCTGCTTGAACGAAAGCTCAAGCCTTACAACGATGACTGCAAATGTTATCTCATCATCGTAATTACAAAGTGAACAAGTTTACGAATAATTTCTGGCCGTTTACGCGAGTTTAGACTGAAAAGTTGGAGACGGAAGCGCACACTCGGGCCGAGTGTGCGTTCCTCCTGCATGTGCATGATGTCGGCGGTCAATAATCCCTCACCATTTCTATAAGGAAAATGCGTGCAAAACATGGGAAATCCAATTTGTTCACGCACAACCACGGCAGGCGTGCACGACACGTGCGTGTACCATATACACGAGCGTACTGTACGCGCGGCTAAGAAGGCACTTAAATTCCGGAGTGTTTCATTCGTTAAAATGTGATGTTAATGCACGAATGTCGTCATCTACATATATTTATCGTGGATATAACCACGCTCTGGAGCAGCGTTTATATGTATTTTTTTGGTGATTTGAAGAATAAATGATGATATTACGGTACAACGTGGATCAGTCATTCGAGTTGAATGAATTTGAAATGTCTCTAAAAATTGATAGGATTAATGACCGCAACATTTTGTGCGGCGGCTGACCCAAAATCCTCTGCTTAATTCAGCTCGTGGGCTTCTTCTGTATGACAGCAACTGCAGCCCTTTAGGAACAGGCGCTGCAAGATGGCACTTGCCCTTTATGTGCCACCTCTTGCTGCAATTTTTTTTACACGACATGCCACATGACCATCAATTGGCACCACGTAGCACTATAATTGAAAATTCGTGTCGATGTCTATTGGTGCAAGTATAGCGTTGCCCTTTACACGTGACCTAGAGTTATATAATTCTGATTCCGGCATTTGCTCTAGTACTTATCACAAGGAAGATAAATCGGCGTTTTCAGCAAGAAAACGCGCAGTGCATTTCTTGAAAAATTCTCCCTCCAAATGGCTAGCACCGGCCATTCCAATTCGCGGCCCCGACATTCGTCTCCATCGAAGCCCCGATAAGTGAGTGATCACTCATGCGAGCAGCTGCAAGTTCTACGGACGTCGCAAATTCATCGGTGAAATTTCACTGTCCTTTTCTCGTGATCATTCAATTTGCAGCTCCGCCTTTGGTGGAGGCAAGTTACTGAAGAAGACCGCTCGTTGTGAGTGATGGGTGAAATCGCCAATCGGCGAGGCGTGCTATGAATCGTTAACTTGATTGACAATCAATAAAAGTTAATACTCAATTCTGTTGGTTCGGACAAACATCTAATGTGATCCAAATCGCGAAGATTCAAAGCCATTTTGTTCAATAAATTTTGTCCTATAGATCTGACAATTCGATTCCTATGACTAAAAATCGCGTCCCTATTTATTGTTATCTACCGAATAGCACCAGTAACCTTTTGGGAGTATCCTTAATACGGACGTCTCTTTTATCTCATAAAAAGCGCAGTCCAGCTATGCCGGGTGTCATGATGAAGTGGAATAGGAACCACAAACTGAAATCCGGCCTCTTCGCCGCTCGTTATTTCTTAGGCAGGAGCCATCGTTGGTCCGGCCGCTGAAGCACTCGCATGCTCCGCAACCAAAGCAATGCCGTGCATTGAAAATCTTCCACATCACGCACACTCTTGAGGTTTGCACATCACGCACATTCTTGAGGTTTGCACATCACGCACACTCTTGAGGTTTGCACATCACGCACACTCTTGAGGTTTGTCCATCACGCACACTATTGAGGTTTGCACATGACGCACACTATTGAGGTTTGCACATGACGCACACTATTGAGGTTTGCACATCACGCACACTCTTGAGGTTTGCACATCACGCACACTCTTGAGGTTTGCACATCACGCACACTTCACTGCAGTGAGTGACAGAGAGCGCATTTTCTCGTCGACGATAACTTGAGGTCACGGACAGACGGAAAGACGGACAGACAGACAGACGGACATGGCGAGCACAATAGTGCATTTTTTCCATAAATGAGAAAATGCGCTAAAAAGGGTACGATGCTAGTGAGCGCAAAATGACTTGCACTGATGGTTGCCGCCACGTACGACAACTTAAAAATATTCTCTGTTGCGTACAAACGTCCTCAGGTTGCTACACACTCAATAGTTTACGCATAATTATTAAGTTGAAAGTTATGTTCCCGGAACGCGGCGGTAGAGGGGTAAGGAATCTGTTGCCAAGACTCGGATAACGCCATGCTAAATTTTACCGGTAAGTCTTGAGAGAACAGGACCCTATATGTTGTGTTACCGAGCTTTTTTTAATTTATTAAAATTTAAGTTGTCCGATTAGGTGTACTATTTTGATATAGGATAACTGAGTTCGGTGAATCCACTAGATTTCGGTCGTGTACTATATTGATAAAGGAAAACTAAGTTCGGTGAATGCACTAGATTTCAGTCTGAGGAAAATGATATCTTGCTTGCCGCGACGGAAGAATCTATTTCAAACGCGTCTATCTCAACGTAACCTAACTACTGAGATTGAGATATCCCCGCTTGTAATGTTCAGTCATGATTCGCATTAGTATTTAGTGATGTGTAGTTCAAGCTATGCCACCTAGAATCACGATACAAATCTTGTTCAATTAAATTTAATGTTATAATGTTCAGCAGAAATTGTAACAATTGACAAATTTTTTATGATGTTCTTAATATGTTTAAAAAAGCAGGAAAGAAATAATATTGTCATAATACTTTCTTTCTTCAGATATCATTTGATCAATAAAATCAAAATGAACCAATCAAAATTTTTAAATCGTTACAATTTGATTCTCTGCTTAAAGTTTTCTGTTCATACGAGTATCTCTACCGATTGAAGATAATTTCTTTTCTCGAAAATTTAAGTGGCGCATCCACATAATATCACATTTGTGAATAAATGAATGAAATCATGTTATTCAGCGCTTCCATAGACACCTTGAGTATTACTTGGTTGTGCTACCACCTGCCTGCAGCCCTAGCGCCAACCCTTATTATAAGTCCAACTCCAGACTACACTCACTCCCCTGGCTACACCCCTAACGCTTCTCTCACACCAGCGTGCCGTCTCTC